AAATGACATACAGGCTAGACATTTTTTAAAAGACTGAAATGGCCTTGAGAGGTTTCATTTTTCCTTGTAGCTAATAAAAAGCCATATTTTTATAATGAAAAAAAAAATACAATGTATTCGGGGGACATTATCCTTTTTTTTTTGTATTATATAAAATTGTTAGCGCTTATAATATTATGATGCACTCGATAGGTCAACCGTCGTCGGTTAAATTTTCAATTATTGATCCTGTTCGTCTGTTATTTTGATGATGTTAATGTATAGGCTCGGTCGGATCGTCGGCGTTGAAAAGTTCCTGTAATTTTAATTTCTTCTATATAGTAAAAATATTTGAAAAAAAAAATTTAAAATTAAACATTTAAACATAATTTACCGGTGCTTTTTAGAGTCTAGCGACCTAAAACTATAGCTCGACGTTGTGTAATTATTATTATTATTATATTATTATTATTATTATTATTATACTGTTATCGAATTTTTTTGTACATTTTTTTATACTAACCCAGCGTGTACTTAAAAGAACGGACTGGCTCTAAATGCTTAACAGATATGGGAAACCTATTCTCCCCTCGTGTAACTATATTTCCCTCTGTTATTGTATTATAAGTGTTTAGTCTCTATGTGATTTATTTTGTATTATATATATTAGACGCACATTTAATGATGTATTTAATGATGTGTATATGAAAATAGCTTTAATAAAAAGTCATAATTTATAATGCTCAAAATTTGTGTTTGAAATTTTTTCCATACTGTCGTGACACCTGTTGGGCAGATTTGAAAAAGTCACCTCCTCTTTCTCCTCTCGCACCACCTCATCGTCCGATCGAGCTTTGTCTCTGCGTCGAACTATACACCACATCGAAGACAATACAGGCGCTTCGAGGATGTATATACCTCACACCGTATACAATGGTTACCTGGAAAACACTATATATTATGATGGCGGTCGACTATAGGAAAAACCGCCGCCGCCTTCGAGTATATAGGTACACACATCGAGATTATCGGCGTGTCCGTCCGTGACATTAAAAACTATACACGCTTTGTAATGGGTAATATTATTATTGTAATACAATTTTCTCGTCCAGAGGTTAGGCGTCGCGACAGTCGTATAATGTCAGTCGCTGAGCCGCCCTGGGGGAGCGCTTCTCCCCGATGTACACGGGACGTCGGGTTTCTCGTCCGCAAGTGTATACCTATAACCCGTACCCAGGTATAAACCCCACCTACACACCGATCGTAGATTCGGCTTCCGGGCGTTTTTTCGATTTGTATGAACACACACTGCACACACGCATTTATAATAATAATATTATACAATGTTATTACACGAGCGTTATTATTGCTGTATCATTGTCCGGGGGTTGGCCTCCGGCGGATTTAACGCGCGGCATTATTATAACAGCGCAATAACGAAGGAATATAATAAGTGTGTGTGTGTGTGTGTAGTATATTAATATGTACATCAGCCGACCACTATATTATATATGTATAGGTACGACCCCGCGGCGCAATTAACGATATTACTGTATTACAATTTGTATATATAATATTGTTATTATATCGCTGTATTAAAATATTGCCGTGACCGTTTCACCTACGATATAGGTAGGTATAGGTAATGTGTATACACGAACAAGACGTACAATATATAAGTAGGTACGGATTAATATTATGATGAAAAAATTTAATATTATTATTATATCATTGTGTAAAACAACGTCCGCGACATATAACACCATTATTATTATATTGTAACGGCGGCGCCTACCGTTAAAGGGGTATACACGACACTGGCGCGTATTACATAAACACGTAATATTTCTACAAACGGCCATTACAATAATATATATAGGTCGTAGGTCGTGGCCGGGTACACGCGCTGCAGTGTCCTAAACGACTTCGACGCGTCTCAGTTTTGGCTACTCAAGTCTCTTGCTCGGAGTTTCGCAACGGACAGCTCCTGCCCCCCCCCCCCCCGTCACTGGTCTTACATATATATATGTAGGTAAGTCGCAGCTGCGACCGAACCTAAGTGATTGCGACGAGGCTATGACGGCGGAGATGTGCTCCGGAGGAGATGGGAACGCTTAGCGATTTATATGTTTTCGTTTTTTATATCACTTCTTAATCGCACGAAAACTAGTGTGACCCCCGCCGAGGCGTAAGCTGCGAAAAGAAAAGATTAATAATAATAATAATATGATTTTATAAAATTACATACCTACTAGTCTGTCGTGTCGGATAATGTTTGACTCCTGCTATAACTATATGTTATTTGACACGAAATGAATTCGACATCTGATCATTATATAAGCGATATGAAGTGTACACACGATAGTAATATACACATCACAATCAGGGATGTTGGATATAGGGTCTTAGATACGATTTTTTTTACATTTGTCAATATCGTTTCTATGTAATAATAGTAGTAATATACTTGTACAATGAGTAAATACTATTTTCTTTGGTGTAGGTACCTACTTATGTGGTTTTTTCGATCGAATGGATTTTAGGTAATTATAGATACATTTTTTTTTTAGAAATGTTGAAAAATAAAATATATAAACTATAGATTTTAAATTTGTTTTACATTTTTCTAACGTTATTTCTATACACAGTTTAGTTTACCTATTTACTGAATCGCATAAGTAATCGTAAACCATTTTTAAGGAGTGTGAACTTTGCAGAGCATGGTAGTAGATTTTTGAATTTGAATTTGTAACACAAAAGAAAACAGTGTATTATCGATGAACGCAGAAAACCGTTTAAGTGTAGGCCATTATTAGGTAAGTATTGGCAAACCAGGATAAAAGCGGTAGGGGTGGATTCGGTACCGAGACTATCTAAGTTTCCTCTAAGTTTAGTACACATAGGTATATTTAATATTGAAGTATAATATTAAATTTTTGCAATTTTACTCATACTAAATATATTGACTAAAAAATGTATGAAAACGTACCTTATAATACATCTTAATAATAATTGATTGAATATATCCAAAAGTAAAAATGAGTAGAAATCTATAGTTGAAATACTTTTCCAAAATGTTGAATTTATCTTATATTAAGGATAAAAAATTACCTTGCTAGTATATCTTATACTAGATACCTTTAATTGAGTATCTGCCCGCGTTCCTGCAGATTATATAACATCTGTTTATTGTTATTGCATGTGATTTATAGTATTTTATACCATAATATAATGTTTGTTATTTCTACTAGACACTATACTATATTATAGTATTCCTGTGACGGTAAAATTATTCTTGGCTTACGTTCCGGTAGTATTTTTAAACGACGAAAAAACACATATTGCACGCCACGGTTTTTTCGCATACTAAACTCATAAAAATGTATAAAATATCATAAAAATTAGATAAAACGAGTATATAATTATAGACTATGATAATATATGATTTACATTAGGTAGGTACTCCTCTGTGTACATTAATATAACGGACTTATACTATAATAATATTTGTTCAACCTTGTTGCTCTGTATAACATGTATTTTAAGGATCATCCTCATATAATAATATAATTTCTCGGTATAAGTACCCCCCATACGCGATGGTTATAACGTGCAAATAAAAAACGTGATATTTCATACCTAATGAAAGCGGATAAACTCGAATTAACCAGGAAAAATATTGGCTCAAAGGTTAAGATTGTCATTAAGGTATAATAATAATATAATATAGGTATAACATATACCTAATCGTGTAATGACTCGTTTTTCAATTTTTTTTTTTTTGCGCCGATGGTTCGCGGACATTACGTTATTATTTGCCCTCTTAACGACTTCAGCACGCGGTAGGTAGGTATATATATTTTAATTATTTAATGATATACCAATTACCTAATGGCGTACGCATTTTGAATAAAAAACAAAACAATATAATAATTACGTTTTTTCGTCGTTGCGGGCCCGCTCGGCAAGGGGGACGACACTTAATGAACCCATCAATATACGGTTTTGGGTTGAATTTATTACCCGCAATAAATAACAAATTGTTATTCGTAATTGATTGAACTCCTTAACAATATTTGTATATATATATATACATAATAATATATATTATATAAAAGGCAACAAAAAAAGCCCTATGGTAAACGTTTTATCGTGCGACTTTTAGACCCTTCGTCGTTTTGAAATATTAAAATATGGCGAAACGTTCATTTCAGACGATGTCGCATCGTCATATATATATAATATATGTGTGTGTCGACATGATAATAATAATATAATATTTATATCGTATAATATTTTCTCATAAATTTGATGAGGTACTATTTTACGTCAACGTCGTCGTCGTCGTCAACTTATATATACCTAGGCTAACCTACTATTTTATCGTTTGTCATATAATATTACATATGAATAAATAATTTGTTTTACCTACCTATAATATTGCGTACGTGAGAGGCGACGGACTGACTGCGGTGCGGATTGAAGTTTGACATATTATGCGTTCGATCGGTAAGTAGGTAGGTTACTTGTACCGCATAATGTGCTGTAATAATATTAATTAATCATTGTTTATTAAGCGAGAATCTCGAACTTAAGATTATTTAAAAAAAAAAAAATCATAACATGAGCCTTTTGTTATTTTTGAATTAAAAATTTAAAATATGTACCTGTCGTGTTATATACGCATACACTGGAGTCTAGTGACTAGGACGATATTACTTTAATATTATTTTACTGTGGACGTATTACTTTGGTATGACACGTCTGCATGTACCCGTTATTCATATATTATATAAAAATTTGTACATATATACATATTCTTCGTGCATTCTATTTCGATATAATTCATATAATATATGATTATAATATATATATACACTTACGGAGATTAATGTTCTTAAAAAAGTTACGATAATAATATCTAAATAAATAAATAAAAATTAATATACACACTACGAGCACTAGGTACTATCTATAGCAGTGGTTTTCAAACTTTTTTTATACACGGCACACCGTACACTTCAAAAAATTTTCACGGCACACTGACCTTTTTTTAGATGAACAAATTCTATTCCAAAAAATATTTTTACAATTTCACGGCAAGCGGGTAAAATTAACTGTTCACCAATTGTATGTGGTTTCATTGTTTTAGCCACAAGCTCTGCTACTACATAGCTCGCTTCTTGAGATTTATCAGAAATTTTTACAATTGTTGTCATATTTTTACTTTGTTTATTTTGTGAATTTAATAAACGTTGAAAATATTTTATATTTTTGTCGATCAAATGTGAATGTTTAGTAAACAAATTACGTTTAAGTTTACTGGGCACCATTGCTTCATTTGACAATTTTTCACCACATACAACGCACCATGGACGAGGATCGTCTGTATCACCAGTACAAGAAAATCCCATTTTTAAGTAATCTCCGTGATACTGACGAATATTACTGTATTTTCTTTTTTCTTTTGGTGGTTGACTTACTGACGCATTATTGTCAACAGAACGAGTAACAAGTTTATCCATGATTATAATAATTATAAATATATGTAAATGTATATCACAAATGTATTTTTTTTAAATACTCGTATGCTATTACAATACAATTAGGAGACAAACTACTCTACAAATACGACGTTAACGTCCAGGCCGATTGCGACGGATATACTGCCAGAGGTCTAACAATATAACGGACAACCTATACATTTTATAGTTCAATAGTTATCTGAGATTACTTATCTTGAATCACTTTATTCCTACAAACTGTCGATTTATTAATATATAAATATATATAAAATCCATAGAGATTGAAAGCATTTATTTTCTTATATCGCAATTAAATGCAATCGGTAATTTATGGAAAAACCGCGGCACACCTAGTGGATACTCGCGGCACCCAGTTTGAAAACCACTGATCTATAGTATGTACCAAACAACCCGATTGCGAAACGTAGATTATGATAGTATTCCTACAGGTGCCTATGCTTCAGAAGTAATAATTTCGTAATCAAATCGACAACCACCCCTACGAAGAAGGACCCACAATTCGATTTTTCATTTTTTCGTTTTATTTAAAATCGATACTTACTACTGTTTTTATATAATATTCGATGTATAATATTATAATATCGTCATACGCGAGTCACGTTGTACATACATTTTTTTTTACAGGCGTTTGTGAGGGTATCGGCGCGGAAACTCGATTACCTATGATAAAAAATATTGTTTAAAAAAAAAAAATAATATGTAACTCGTTCGGTTTTGCCGAGGCAGTTCTCATGGATTCTCGTCCGTTGCTGCAGTTATTATAGGTATATAACATATAACCTCCATTTCATGGGCAACAATAATATTCCGGTCCCGCAGTAGTCTTGATCACTTTATAATTATTGTTCGGACAATAATCGTCGCAGTTATTTGTAAATACTGCTGCAGAGGCAAACGACGGCGGCGTAGCATTATCGCGAAGAAATTCACTCAGATTTGTTAGAAATGCCACTGCTGTAATTGATAACAACGTTGGATAATATAAAAAAAAAATATATAGCATATAATAGGTATATAATATGACATGGTGACTTTGTACCGCAGTCGATGACCTATGGCTGGGTATACTCGAGACCAGTAACGTATATATATATATATGAGGGGAGGGAAGGGGAGGGGCTTGTGATGTATGGATTGCCCCCCCCCTCTTCGGAGTTTTTTTTAACGGCGGGGTTTTCATAGAATATTTATTATCCTCGGGCGTATTGTATTGATAGGTAATTAATTTGTTTGTTATAACGGCGCTTCCAGAAGTATAGTGATAACTTATGAGGATATATCAGGCAATTTTCGTGTATACTATCTGATTTGGCATATAATCAGCATACCTATAGACTGTGGTGTAGTCAACAATCAATTTCGGAAGAGGGTGTTAATTTTTAAATAGTATAACATTATATTATTATGCGTCTCATTTTATTCATTTATTCACCTTTTGTCCATAAACATAAATTCGGTGTCTTGAAAATATATATTACTCGTACCGTCAATTATTATATACTGCGCAATATACAATTCGTATAGGTTACATATTATATATTATATATTGACATATATTATAATATAAAGTTTAGGAAGTTCGGGATTCGTTCACAAGGGCCCCACTGTACATAATATAATTTTCAATCAATTTGAGCAATATCCAAAATTTCTTATACAATTCCCGAGGCCATCCGCACTCGGACCTGGATCGATGACGTGTACGTTTTGCCCTGCAATAAGCCAAACATGAATCACATACAGCGAAAAAACAAAACCACGTCCACCGCAGACATCTGAAACAATACTAGTCTGTAATAATAATACTAATAATCATAATAACATAATGTGATCGTAATAATAATAATATTTATTTACCAACAACAAAATGTTTGATACGATTGAGATTACATGCAATATTATAAGACTGGTCTACTCACTAAATCCTATGACTGTGGTGTGAGTAGGGTTCAAGACTGAACAATAAATATAAACTAAAATTAATTATACAATAAAACTAATTTAACAATATTTTTCAATTAATTTATATATCACATATATACCTAAACACAATAATGTTACATAACAAAATCCTTAAACTTAACACTATCAATGGAGTGTTTAAAATTAATATAATTATTAGTTATTAGACCCAAAACAGATGAGTTAATTCTTCACCAGACACAAATTTTGAGACACACTGGGTACAACTTATTAAATTTGGTTCTCACTTTAGGGATAACAATCCCACTTGAACTCCTATATCTAGTAAGATATCTACTGTATATATTTAGGTGATTTCTCATACTTAAACATAAATATTGTACATAATTATTTGTAATACATAAGGTATTTAAATTAGACAGACAATAGTCATTAAGAATATAATTCCTAGGGTAGTATTGGTAGCTTTGGTTTGAAAAATATAAATTTTAAAAGTGAATTCGTTGCAAATTGCAACCTTTAGTTTATTTATATGAATATTATTTATGCTCTGTTCCAAAAAGGTAACCCATAACTTATAATGGATTGAACCCAACTTACAAGAGTAATAACTCTTAATTTTGGTTACAAAATATTTCTGAAAAAAATCACTACCAACAATTCTCAAAATATAAGAAAACGTTCTTAAATATTGTTGAACAATCCATTTTACGTTTTCATCAATACTAAAGTGTCTTACAGAATTACATTTTTTTAAACATAACCTCCGAAATTGTTTTGACTAGATAGTTACAGTATCATTATACACGACTATTTCATGCCTGGACACATCAATATTCTATTTCTACTAAAATGCGAATAACAAGATTTATCAAAGTTGTTAGTTCCAAAAGGCTATCGTCTAACCATTGTTTAATTTAACTATAATGGTAAACCAGCATATCTACACTTTACTATAATACGATCGCAATGACTACAGAAAGAATTAAGTATTTGGCTATTGTTTTTTTTCGGGGGGATGAGAAACATTGGTCGTTGGTCGTGCCAGACGGAAATATAAATATAATATATTATGTTTTATTTGGTATATATACTTGGTGTTTGTACATATCAGTACACTCAGTCGGCGTGGTGATGTATTCTCGTTTCTCTCACTTCAATAATATATTATATTGCTGCTGGTTGTGTGTACCCTGCACTCGCCTAGCCCCGGCCATGTTATATACACCGTCTGGTTAAGTCATTTTCAGCCAATTACGGAGTCGCACACTGCGCAGCCACCGCTGCCGGGATAATTGGGACTGGTGGTTTTTCGCTCCTCTAATTTTTATTATTTTTTTTTTCTCTCTGTTCCATTGCCAATTTACTGGCTGTATAATAGTAGTAGTTGTCTGCGTGTACTACGCTCGTCTGATGCGACGACAATAAGCTGCCAACACACTCGAGACACACTGCACGCTCGGCGATCGACTTTAATATATATATATATATAAATATTGAGCTTATACGTTCGTTTAAATGTAATATACGACCGACGACCACTGCTGCTGCTGCTGCAGCTGGGCTCTTTTCGTGTTTTCGACGACGCTATCTCGTCGTTATTAAGAGAACACGAGAAGAAGTCGTCGGCTGCGGCGCAATGTCTGTCGATTTAAAATTTTTATTATTTTTTTTTTTTTAGAATTTCGGTTTGAATTTCAAAAGAACAATGTCATTTCGCTTTTGACAACCCGTTGTCGTTGAACTTTTAACGACTTGTCTGATGACGATTCTGATGTAGGAGAGAGGTGGTCTGCTGCAGAGATATATCGAGCAGAGCTGTTGACTCGACAATATATGCTATGACGAAGATGTGTTTTATTTTTAGGTATACGTTTATATTTTTTAGAAAACACCTCGAATGCTCCAATACATATATATGTATAGTTTCGGGAGTAAACTTTTAAATCGAATACCATTGTACCTATATCTATATACATCAGACTTGAAAAATCGTATTTACAGGCAACTTTCTAGGAAATCCGGCAGCATCACGTCGAGGGCTGGATCATTTATCGGGTAATGTATATTATAATCGTAGGTACCGTCCGTCACGACTAAGAATAATATAACAGTATTATACACACCTGCACCGCCTGGCCAAAGTTCCGTGGCGCCGGAATGAGCGAAACTCTATAATAATAATAATAATATATAAACGAGTGTGCCCAAAATAGGAATCTATGACAGGACGGCTTTTTCGAAATAAATTATTTACTTGTAAATGCAGTAAATATATGTCCGTGACGGCGTGACACGTCGCTACAAAAAAAAAAAAAATAAATAAATAAAAAAGTAAAAACCATAAGTATTGATTTTGTTTTTTTGTCCATTGCACTTAGGACTATATAATATACAATACACATGATATTATTATAATAATAAAAGGTTTGTATACGAATATTTGGCAATACTGTTTAGCCCGTTTAGGTATTTTCTTAATAAAATAACGATGTTTATTTTATAAATCGTCTGCGTTCATAATGTACGTTTTATAATAATATAAACACCTATATGTGTCCACTATATATATTGTAAGCGGCCGATACATGTTTTTAAGGTGTTTGGCGTATAATTTCGTGTTACACTATAATATATGTATTTGCGCACATCGTATAAATGGTCTGTCCAAAGACTATATACACATAGGTAGTATATATTATCATTTAGGATTGTCGATAATCGAATATTCACAGGTATAGATATATCCTATGTATAATAATAATAATATGTAGTCGTCATCGACACGGGCGCGGCAAACGAGACTATGGCAAAATGAACAAAAGATTTTTGTTTTTTTTTTAACTAATCCCAACGATATCGGTGAACTATATTGTACAGGATGTGACGGAAATAACTGTCAGATGTTTTGATTAGTTTGCAGTGTATAACAATTGATACTTTTATTTTATTTTTCAAGATAATTATTTTTTTTAGATATTATATAATATGGTAGGTATAATTGTTGTAATTTATATTTAAAAAACAATAGCCGTGTATCGATTAGAACAAAAGTC